GGGGTCTATGCTACCTTTGGGGCTTCTTGTTGGAACCCTGTTCCCGGGTAGACTCCACCATAAGGAATGCCTCCTCTATCATTGATCATTTCAAATTTCTTTTTGAGAGACAACACCGCATTGTTGAAGCTTTGTGGCTAACAGATTATAATGCTTAACCAGGACCTTTGGAACATGCTGCGAGCACCCTAAAAGGCCACGGCTATGCTTGCGTAGGTCCCTCTATGGTGTTGAAGTGAGAGACACTTGCAGAACAGTTACTGGAATGATGTTCGCAGCCGCTCCTCTGACTGCAAATCGTCATTTGGGTCGGTCAAATCAACGCAATTTGATGGCGTTGATAGGTTTGGTCAATGGTTTCGGTTATATAACCAAATGCTATTGCATTTTGAGTTGTCAACATTTCCTTGGCAATAGACTTGAGGCAATTGTTTGGCGGCGCAGCTTCCTGCCTCAAGCACAAGTTGACAAGCCCTGAATCAAAGCGCCGCCGCTCCACACTAGGCACAGCGTTGATTGGCGAAACAATTGCCAAAGCTCAAGTTGCGCTTGACTTGCCAAGCAATATTGATATGAAATCGCGTCTGCCGCAGGCTTGATGGGAACCGCTCACGGCCAAATCTTGGAGGAAGAGGCGGACGTTACGCACACGAAAGCAATAGACATGGAAACATGCTGACTTGCTTGGAAACGGGGATTGCAAACTATTGTTTCTCAAGGCCTTCCGTTGCTTAGCTCAAAATGCTCGTTTGCAATGCCTTAACTATGCTGACTCTGGCGAGTGCATACAGTTTCAACATAGAAGCTTCATTGCGCAAGGTGGCGCCTTACTATTACGACGCTTGGCGCCAACAATGGGCTTGGTGGTGCGCCGGAGAGTGGTGGGTCTACACCGAGGCGCTGCGCAAGACCGCTTTCTACACACATGCGAAAATTCTGCTTGGCGTTTGGGATGCGGCAGATGAGTGTGGTTAAGACTTGGGAGCCGCGTGGTCCCCATTCGATGAGTGGGGGCAGTGGCAACGACAATATCAGTGAAAGGGGGATGCAATATGGTGTCAGCTACCTAGGAACAGGGTTCCAACAAGCAGCCCCCGCAAAGATTCAAACAGAGGACCGCCTACGCAATAACTGTCCTGCAAATGTCTCTCACTTCAATATTGTAGTGGGACCTACGCAAGCATAGCCGTGGCCTTTTGGGGTGCTCGCAGCATGTTCCAAAGTGAGGCCCCGGTTAAGGATTCCAATCTGTTGGCCACAAAGCTTCAACAATGGGGTTTGTTGTCTCTCACAATGATAGATGCATTCCTTAGGGTGGAATCTACCCAGGAACAGGGTTCCAACAAGAAGCCTCCAAAATAGGCCCCAAAGCTTGCGCAATTGGGTTTTTTGTCTGTCAAATCAGTGATACAAGCATTCCTTGTGGTGTAAACTACCCGAGAACAAGGTTCCAACAAGAAGCCCTAAAGCTAGGCCCACAAGCTACAGCTATGGGGGTTGTGGTCTCTTAAAAATGGTCAATGATAGAGGCTTGCCTTTTCGTGTTGTCTACCTGGAAACAGGGTTCCAACAAGAAGCGCTAAAGCTAGACGCCAAAGCTACAACTATGGGGCTTGTCGTCTTTCAAAATCGCTCCTTGTGGCGTGAACTATTCCTGTGTCCCCCTTCGCTTGTGCGGGCTTGCCTTTCGTCGGTCTCGGGGACTATGGATTTCCCAGGGCACGTACAGGGCTTCTCGGGTTCGCCCTCACCTTCAACTTCGTGTTGCTGAAAATGCAGGCGTTTGGGAACAACATGTGGCCTTTGTGAAGGGTCGTCAGCCAATTCTGCGGGAGTGGGCCCCCTTTAGTCGGATTCTGAGACGTGCTCCTGAGCCAGCTTGGTTTTGGGTCAGGCAGGTGGAGTAGGTACCTTTTGCAGTACCTGGCCAAACCCCTGCCCAGAACAACCTCCAGACCACGCAAATCGGAGACACCGTGGCTGTGGTGGGCTCCTGTCCCGAGCAACTCAGCTGAAGTTGGTGGTGTTTCACTCGTTTTTCAAGACCTTGGGTTCGAGCCCATGGAGGTTCTGGCCACGATGTTTTCAGTACTTTCAGCAAGCGAGTCCGTAAGTCTTGGTGTTCCAAAACTTATTGATATTGAGTTTTAACAATTTATTTTTAATTGATTCTGCAACATCAAAAATCATATTCAAGTTGACCCAATGTCGAAAACAAGGTTCCAGCAGTTGGCTTCAAGGTTGAGGCTGCCTCTTCTTGGTTGGCTGCATCTCCTGATGCCTTTTGCACCTCTGCCAAACTGAGTTTCCCCAGTTTGTTCAAATTTCTTTTCTTCAACATGCTTGCTTTTATGCTGTTGCTTGAACCGCTTCCTTTCCCTTTTGCAATGATATGATTTCACTTTCCCTTTTGCCGAAAGATTGTTCAGATTTCATTTGTTCAACGAATTGCCCTTCGGTTTCCCTTTTGGCAAGTAGGCCAAAAGTTCACACAATAAAACCTGCGAAGAAGGGTTTCAACCCCTTGCTGAAAACCCCCTTGCTGAAAGGGTAATCGAATCCCATGGAAAAGGAAGAGGAAGAAGAAAAGGAAGATGAAAAGGAAGAGGAAAAGAAAAAGGAACAGGAACAAAGGAAAAAAAATAAGGAAAACAGGAACAGGACCTAGAAAGGGAAAAGGAAAGGAAGAGGAAAAGGAAGAGGAAAAGGAAAAGGAAGAGAAGGAGGCAAAGGAACAGGAAAAGGAAGAGGAAAAGGAAAAGGAAGAGGAAAAGGAGGAGGAAGAGGACAAGGACAAGGAAGAGGAATAGGAAAAGGAAGAGGAAGAGGAAAAGGAAGAGGAAAAGGAGGAGGAAGAGGAAAAGGGAAAGTAAACAATGAACAAAAAGGAAAAGGACGAGAAAGAGAAAAAGGAAAGGAACAAATAAGAACATGGTTCGGTTTGTTGATGATCTAGTCTACTGGTTTTCTGCTTTTTAAAAATGCAATCTGATCAAAGCTGATCAAATTTGATCAAGTTTGATCAAATCTGTTCAAATTTGATCACATTTGATCAAAACCATGGTCTTGATCAAAGTTGATCAGATTGATTGCATTTGTTGTAAAGCCTTAATTTCATGAATTAAGTTTTGGCCACAGTTTGAGTCATTAGATTTTGTTCCCTCAACTCTCCTCACAAAAAATTGTCCACCGTTTTAGTCATGAGATTTTGCTTCCTGAACTCTCCTCACCAAAAAAGTTTGTGCACAGTTTTAGTCATTTGATTTTTCTTGTTTCATCCAATATTTTGTCAACATCAACAGTTTTAGTCATTCAGTTTTCGTTCTTTAACTTCCCTCACCAAGTTTTTGTCCACAGCTTTAGTCATTAGAAGTTGTTTCCTTAGTTTCCTTCACCCCTAAAGATTGTCCACAGTTTTAGTCATTTGATTTTGTTTCCTTTCTCTTACCCAAAAATTTTGACCACGGTTTTTGTAATTAGCTTTTGCATCAAGAAATGTCCTCACCGAAGATTTGGCCACAGTTTTAGTCATTAGATTTTGTTTCCTTACTTTCCTTCACCCAAAAAAAACGGTAAATCGTTTTAGTCAAATCATTAGACTTTGTTTCCTTACTTTCCTTCACCCAAAAAATCATGTTCCTTTTCCTCTTCCTTTTCCTTAGCTTGGTTTTGGGTCAGGCAGGTGGAGTAGGTACCTTTTGCAGTACCTGGCCAAACCCCTGCCCAGAACAACCTCCAGACCACGCAAATCGGAGACACCGTGGCTGTGGTGGGCTCCTGTCCCGAGCAACTCAGCTGAAGTTGGTGGTGAATCACTCGTTTTTCAAGACCTTGGGTTCGAGCAAAGAACATTGCAACCATGGAGGTGCCGGCCACGATGTTTTCATTTTCAGTACTTTCCGCAAGCGAGTCCGTAAGTCTTGGAGTTCTGCTGAAAGTTGAAACCATGGACTCTTCCATGGGCCCAGTCGCGTGCACATGCACTTGCTGCACCTGCTGCACCTGGTGCGCCTGGTGTGATGGGGCTGAAGCTTTATGACAAGTGGCTCCAACAAGCCAGCAGCCAGCCTCCTGCACCCAGTGAGCCTTTCGAGGCAAAAGGCGCAGAGGAGGTGGAGGCTGTGGATGAAGCTTCACTATCCACCGAGGAGCTGGAACTCCTCAAGTTGCTGCCCCAGGAGAGTGTGAGGGGCAAGGTAGGCGAGCCCTGTAGGTCCAGATTTGTATATATTTATATCAATGGCTGCGGGAACCAGGCAAGAAGATTAGGACTTCCGGCGGCGTTACTTATCCAGGCACCAAATGGCAAATGGCAGGCTTTGATGCTGTTCAGCTGCTAAAGGATGCTTGAACTTCAACAGGGCTTGGCTGACCAGAAGCATCTGCTCTATGATGCATGCAAGAAAAAACAATACTGAAGTCATATAAACACAAATATAACCAATTTCGAAATAGCTATATAGAAAATATAATATTGTTAGTATATAAGAAAATATTTCTAAAATACATCTAAATATAGTTTTTCCTCAGTGAGGTCATTCAAAAATTTTTCTTTTGAGATCTTGAAAACCTTCAAGTGGCCGCCGGCTCTGAGCTCATCGATGCAGGCTTTAGCCTCAACTGAATTGGCCAACCCACTTGACCTTTGCGTGATATCTGTGGAAACTCTATGCCTGTATTCGGTTCTGGCCCCCCTGGCCTGCTCAAATGCAGCATCGGAAAGCCTCCTCAGGGCACCCTGCCTATTCAAGCAATCATAGCTGTGGCTTAACATTTTCCCGAACTGGGTGAACCCCATTCCTGACAACCTGTTCTAGTCTTCCCCGGCTCTTGAACAATCTAAATGCATTCTGGGTGCAATGGCTCATTGAGATCCGAGGACAGCAGAACAACCATCCGAAGTCATTCTATGAAATTTGGGTTGTTGTGTTGTGGTAGTTAACGAGGTGATTGCCCAGTACATGTTACTGCATGTATAGTTCTTTGTTTCGTACACCAAGGAAGGGCCTCGTGAATCTGGTTCTTGGCCACTTGGAGGGTTGAAAAGTGAATGAATTATCACGGAAAGGCCCCGGGTTGTGAAGGGATGCAAGATCATGGAGGGTGACACTTGTCACTTATCATAATCTAAGAGTTTTCCATCTCAATCCCACCTCAAATGGATCTGTCCGATCTTAAAAACCCAAGACCTCCCAGTGTAGCGTAGCTGCTGGGCATTGCCGGGTTTGTCTACAGAGGAGACCTCGAAAGACCTCTGTGAACAAATATGAAACGTGGTTGTCGGGGTGGGACTTGGCAAACTGATCGATCAAAACTGGATCCAAACTTGGCCATCAATCAAGTTGCTGATGGGTGCTGATGAGGAAGACCTGCAGGTTTTCGAGATTCATCATGTTTTTTGTGTTTTGCCAAAGGGCTCACCAAGATAGACAGTTTTGGTTGCTTTATATTATAGGGTTGAGGCAGGGGTGGTATATGGCAAGTCCTTAGATCGGGTTGCTTGGGGCTGAACATGAGAGTTCTGATGGGAAGACCATCCTTTCTTCACACGTTTGCTTGTCCGAAAACCGCCCCCCTTCCCCAATCCCACGAACTGCTCGTTTGCAACAAACAGCGGAAACGAGCCATGGCCTCCGCCCTAGTTGCGATGGAGTCCTAGAGTTGCCTCAACTCGTCGTCGACGGACACCACGGAAACTCGCATGACGTCCCACTCATCGAGGCTATGTCCGGGACGCGGGCTTCGAGCAGGTGCGCGCGGCGAATGGGGTGACACTCCAGGCACCGCAGCTTCTTCCAGGCACCGCCGGGTTCCGCCGACCGCATGGTGCCACCGCGGAGAATCGGCTTCCACCGGGGGTGGGAAGGATCGGCTCGGTGTGACGTTCGGGATGAGAAGACGTGCGTGCGAAATCGCTGAGCACCGCTGCTGAGCTGGGGGTTCTCCACTGCGCTTTTGTGCTTCAGCGAAGTGGTTTGGACTGGTCATGGATATGGATATTTTTGGACTGGATGGACAAAGTAGTTGTTCTATAGTGAACGAATGTGAACAAATATGTGGGTCGAGCAAACCCTTGTGAGAGTCGAGCAATGCTAGCAGTGCTTGCAGCAGCCAAGATATGCGACCTGGACTTGAGCGCACGGCAAATTGGTCACGAAGTCACTTCGGGAGTATACCATATTGGGAGCTGGACGCCAACTTGGTAGCCAACTTGGTCGACAAAAGCACCTCTTTGGGCGTCGGTCGTGTGCATTTTACTTATTATACTGACATTATTATATGTTGTATAATTGATGTTGGCACAAAAGGGGGATAGACACCAGGTAAATAGGATCCACGTTCCAGGTGCATTCTTGCAACATTGCAATTGGTTTCCAGATGTCAATAGTGATCACACAAGAAAGGTACGCAGATTGACAAAGATTGGCATATGTGTTCCAACATGCTGGATGCAGGGTTTTGCATCCTGCATGTTGGAACACACAATGCCACGTTTGTCTCGTCCGGTTTTCATGTCTAAAGTACTGATTGCACCAACCAACGGTGAGACACCACACCAGACACGTGGAAGGTGGGAGCGCCCTTCCGCACCAACACCGGCTGCCAAGGGGCGTCTGGATGGTCGAAAGATCCCTTTGCTGCCGTGGTGGGCATCAAGTCCACAGGCTGATGTCCTGCTTGTCGCCGAAACCATGGTGGTCGTTTTGTCGAAACCAAGCACAGCAGCCGAAACCAAGCACGGCACTTTCTCGACGTTAGTTTTGGGAGTGTATAGAAACTCCTCGACAGGGATCTTGATTGACACTGAAAACTTTTCAGCTTTTCTACAGCCAATATAGTGTTACCGTGTTGTTTGTTCTTCGGCAGCAAGATGATGTTTGCATCTTGCCAGCTTTTGGTACATAATCTTCTGGCCTAGATGGTTGTGTTCGGTCCATCATAAATCTGTTGTCCCCCATGTCACCTGGTGCAGATGTGTTTTCCTTCTGGAAGAAGTCCTCATTGATCTTTGGAACTCGTGATGAGGTTCCCATGGAGAAGCCTCCAAATCCCTCTTGTTTGATCTCGTTTACAGAGTTTCACTAAGCCTCGCTGGTTCCGACTTTGAGTTTGCAGTTGGCATTTGATAAATGCAATGGCCCAGAATTGGATTGCTGTAAGTACTTCTCAAAACCAGGCCACCGTTGAAATCAGAAGATAGAATAGGATGAAACTGAAGCATGAGACTGTTTGTTTGTGTGAACCAAGCTAGAGACTTCTTTGATGTGAGCTAAATCTCGTGAGTCAGGTCGTTTGAATCGATCCGTCGAGAATTTTGGCCCGCAGCGCCCTAGAGTGAAACCTCAGTTTGCTGGGACTTGGTTTTGCAGAGCAAGAGATTTTTTGATGGCGGCTGTGGAGCACTTTGACTGCTTCGAAGGATAAACATCAGCATTCAAACCATTTCAAACCGCAGAGAAAATGACCCAATAAAAGTCAAGACGATACAAGCCACGATGCGACGGTTGCTGGTCCGACGGTAGATATTGGAACGATTCCTTTATGTCGAGTGTGGATCCGAACTTAAGCAACGAAAAAGCCCGGGGGAGTTTGCTCCAAATGTTGCAGACACGATGTTGAGCTACTTTTTGTTCGATGTTGCGTGCTTTCTTCTCGGCGACTGAAACGATCCAGGTACTCTATTGATCTCTATTGGCTTCATTCTGGGTGGGTTGTCCTCAACCTTGTTTCCAGCAACATAAAGTATTGTTTGGGAGTTTGAGCTGGTCAGCCATGGGAAGGACATTTGTTGAAGTTGTGCATTGGGAGAGTCAGAGAGCCCACGTGATGGTATGACATACCATGACATCTTATGACCTTCAGACTACAGCAGTACATAACAACAGCATTTCATTGTGAGTGTGTGTGTGTTTTATTAAAGGTGGTTTTGTTTTGTGATTTGTTCAGTCTAGATGTGCGATGTTGTGCTGGTGCATGCTCTGGTGCATGTTTGCCTAAGGCACCTTCACGTGATCTATGCCCATTTGTGTCTATCATTTCTCATGGTGGCTTGGCGATGTGGTGCCTTTGAATGTCTCAACGTGTCTCGTGTAAAGGAATCAAAGGATGATGAGCATAGGAGTTTGAATGAGATGACAAGGGAGTTGATGCTGGAACTGCTGGCAATTGTGAGCATGGGTGTGCCTGCATTGGGTGGACTGGGACTTGGCTATTTCATCGTGCACTTGCCCGAGTATTACAGGAGCCGGAATGCATATAAGGAACTTCCCATGCTCTTTTGGATCGGAGTCATTGGGACAATCCTGGATCATATGAATCTTCTGAGCTATATGTTCATTTTTGAACAAGCAACAGATGGCAAGGGTCTATATATCTATGATGGAATTGGCCCAATCTCACCCAACTGCGATCAACTGGCTTGCATGGTCTTTGTGTTGACCCTCCGTTCAATCCATGCAAAAGATAAAGTGAGGAACGAAAAGAACAGGCAGCGTATCGAGCTAGGTTATATACGCAAGGCTGACCACAAGCACAGTGACAAAGTGAACTGTGTACGTTGGGTATGGTGGTGTTTGATACCACTTCCACTGGCCATTTTGCGTTTTCTTGTGTCTTTGATTTTGGTCTGTGTTGCGATCGACTTGCACGGTCACGATCCAACATCATGGACATTTTTGTCATCGTTCTTATCTGCCAGAGTGCTGAGTGGAATCGGGCTTTTCATTGTGCTGAAGGACATGTTTCAACAGATTTTCAAACAGCTTGATCACATTGAAAAAAAATTGGATGTGATGAACGACGTGGCAAAGACGCTACCTCACCCCTTCGCTGACGAAGCAGAAACTGAAGGGCTGGAATATACCTGGCACTTTTTGGGGCCGGAAGAAACTGAGGACATAGAAGAATATGCATATACCTCTGGGGTGGCCCTACGCGGCATGCAGTCCATGGAGCCGCGACAAGACAGACGTGGCCGCCGCGACACGGTCGCCTCGAGTTGCTTAGAATGACCTTTCTATAATTTTCCCTGGAATTCCCTAAACATATGACTCTTTCATACTCTTTCTAAGAAGTTCAAAACATATGACTCTTTCTAAACATATGACTCGTTCTATAGGTTTTCTAGGAAGTTTTGATTGAAAACATATGACTCGTTCTAAGAGCCACATGAGCCGACACAAGGTGTGTATTGATATGCCCAAGATGGGAGAAACAGTCACTCATATGCCTTCCCTGATTGAGTGGAAGGAAGCTTCGTGTCAGGATTGGTTAAAGAGGTGGCATTACATTCGAACGACCTTCTTGGATGAACAGTTCAGCCTAGATGCCATCCTTGGCATGTGCGTATTAACCATGCTCTTTTGCGCTTTGCAACTGGGAGCAAGCTGGTTATGTTTTGATCCACATCAGAGCAACTTCACTTATCAAGGACTGCATTCAGCAATGGCCATCGCTTTCACTGTAGCCTTTGGAGCAATTTTTATGTACCTCTCACGCGTGTGCATCAAGGACATCGTTTCTGGGGAATTCCAAGCGGGTTGAGCTTGTGTTGTTCTTTGTCTTGAGAGGGAGATGAACTTAGCTAAGGCAGAAAGGCAACGTGAAGCAGCATTGTTTAGTGATAGCATAGCCAGGTCTAGAATATATACATGTATTCTCCAAACCAAAATTGCAGATCTGATGCTCGAACATTGTGACATGAATGTATTAATGATCCGTAATTGAACAGACAAAAATAAACGGAGCAAACTGGATCTCTAGATCCAGGTGAACGAACTCTTTCAGAAGATCTTGAAGCAGCTGGACGAGCTGAGCTCTCGGACTTGGCGTGAAAAGGGCTACGAACACTTTCAGATAATGCAAGACTTCAAGGCAACCATTGAAGCTGGAGGCTAGGGGCAGATGAGGTGGAACAAACTAAAGTTGGCGTGGGTCAAAAGAACGAAAGCAAAAGCAAACACCCTACTTGACACAGATAATCCAGTGTATCTTTTTTCCTGGTCGATGTTTTCACTCCTGGACTACATTGGCCACGCGGTGAGAAAGAACGATCACCCCATTCATCGATCGTTCCAGGTCCAAGGGGAACGGTTCATTTGTGCCAGGGTCCTGGACAAGGGAACTGTATATGTAAGACCTTGGTCAGTTTTACCGGATTGTGGCGATTTCTGGTGCAATTTAATCCTCAAGGTGATTTGCTTAGGAGAGTTCATGGTTCCTTGGCGGGAGCTGGGCCGTTCGATCGGCGCCGAAGCCTTCCGCCTCGGTCTTGCTTGGGTTGGACACCTCGTGAAGGAGGAAGAGGTCATAGGTGCCTGCCACAAGGCTAGAGCTGAACTGGAGGGGGAGCGTTTTCAGTTCCTGGCTTTGAATCAGACACTGCATCAGTGTCAGAGCGACTTGGAGATTCATAGATCGCAGAGCCTGCTCCTTTTCATCGTTTTTGGCCTGGTTTGCTTTTGTTGCGGATTGCTTGGAGGTTTCGTGTTGTGGCACCATCCCAAGAGTCAGAACAAAAGGGCTAGGAAGCCTGTCAGAACGGTAAAGGGTGAGCCTGTGTTTTTCCAAAGCCTGAAGAAAGCCGTCGCTGCACTACCCATTGAGAGCGATGGGAAACTCGGCTGGAAGTGGGGGACACCTACAGTGAGGTGATTCGGCTCGATGGTGGAAAGCTGCCTGGAGGGATCCGAAAGAACCAGACATACCTGCCAGAACACAGTCCGGAAGGGGAGTTCACACCCGAGGAACTTCTTGGTTTGACCCGTAGGGCCATGGATGAGGGCTTCACGTCAAGGCCTAATCGAAGGGTCCATGGGAAGCTGGTTGGAGGTGTTCGAGTTCCCCCCAAACCTACTGGCAAAGAAGGTGATGAAACATCGGATCACTTGTGGGTGGTCGTTTACACCAGCAGTGGAAAGGGAGTTGGAGACGAACTGGCCCCACCTACAGGGGGGGAGACTCACCTGGTCGGGGGCCGGGAGTATGCTTTGTTCAGTATGGGTGGCCATGACTACCTATGTCGCCGCATGAGCAATCTGGAAGCAGAGACATTGAGCAAGCAGGCCACTCCATCCAAGAAAGACGACTCCACCGATCTCCGTGTCCTTCCTGTCTTATTTGACGCCGCAGAGGAGCGTTGGAGAACACTGAGTGAAGCGATACCTGAATATGAGGAGATCGAGTTTGATGATTTCCCGTTGTCGGGTCCGCGTACAGTCTACCGCGACGTGAGGCAGTTGAGGCGGCAAGGAATGGACTTTATACAGCATCATGAGTCTTGGCTGAAAAAGTCAGGTGTCAGATCCTCAGACCGCAGTGTATATGAGCATGGTTGCTTGTGCAGGGCTCTGAACTTTATGGCCTCCTACGACCAGCTGAACCTGCCATCCCTGGCCAGTGCAGAGGCGCTGAACCGGCGGAGGACATTGATTGAAGTGGCACATCAGGGACGACCAGACGCCCCTTCATATGAGGGTTCAGAGGAGATCATGGGGATGCGAGAGGCGGCCGATGGTTCGGTCATTGATCCTGCGTTGACACAACATGCTGCTTGACGACAGGCTGCACATGCGGAGATCCTCAAGCAGAAACGACTACTGTATCAGCTGAGGAGAGGAGACACATTCGACGAGCCGGTGAAGACTCGGATGGTGTTGGAGACAAGAAGAAGAAGGGCAAAGGTAAGGGGGCACCTCAAGCCCCAGAGAACCCCTGAGCATACAGGTAGGGGGAAGCAGGTGGGCGCTACTGCCTCCCCAGTGGATGAGAGACCACATGTTTTTTCCAGCGCTACAGATTTTTCCATGCCTTGGGAGAGATTTGGTGATCTTCTACCACTTCCACTCCCTGCCTACCATGGTCATCCTGGGCCTGCATGTCAGCTGCGCTCCCGGAGGTCTCAACAGCGGGTGAATCGCCGGCTGAGGGGCTTCATAGAGGAGTGTGATACAGTGAGAGCTGTGAACCGGCTGGGAGGCTTCAGTGATGAGGGTGGGTGGCCTTTTTGCCCGCTCAACCAAGCACAGAGAGCGGCTTTGCAACGAATTCATGCTGCACACTGCGATAGACCGAAACCCGCAGAACAGCAATCAAGTCAGGCAGCGCTTCGGCAGCTGCTGAAGCAGGGGTCGAGCTACGGCGGACCCGGAGAGCTTGCCAGTTTCGTAAGAGATCAAGTATCACTACCCAGAAATCAGGGCAGCCCTGTTTCCTTGCTGGAGATCCTCCCTGAGGAGGAGCGAACAACGCTTGAAGACTTTGAGGCCGCCATGATGTTGACACCAGAGGAGAGAGGAGCAATCATTGAGAAAGGGTTGGACAACCTATGTCACATGGATCCAGTGCTGGCGAACAGTAAGAAAAAGTATCACCAGTTTGTTGCGGACATGTTCACGAGCGGTTTGATTGGGTTCACTACAGAGCCACGCTCACAGATTGGGGCTTTTGTTGTGACAAAGAAAAACGGAAAGCAGAGACTCATAGTGGATGCAAGACGCACCAACCGGCTTTTCCGGACGCCACCAAGCACTTTGTTGGGTAGCATGGAGTGTTGGGGAAGACTGGAGAGTGATTCTGAGTTTTTCGTTGCCCAAGAAGACGTGAAGGACTTTTTCTACAGACTGGGTATACCTTTGGAGCTAGGCAGATTCTTTTGTTTTCCTTGCATTGATCCACATGCACTTCAAACCGAGATTGGGTACATGCCAGAAGACCTCAGGGCTTTAGTTCACAGGGATGGTCGAGGGGTGTTTCCTTGCATGAAAGTTTTACCGATGGGGTTCAGCTGGGCATTCCATCTGGCGCATCAGGCTCACGTGGAGATCACCAAGAGAGCCCTGCCGAGGACACCTCAGATCAAGGACAAGGCAGTCATGCCCAGGTTTGGAGAAGGCAAACACCGTGCAGCCACAGGGGCACTGATTTATGCTGATAACAACAATCACATAGGAGTACAACGACAAGCAGTGGAGCAGGAGCATACAACTATGTTGGGGGCATTAGCACAACATGGACTTGACTATCATGAAGTCATTGAAGCGACATCACTGGCAGAGAGCTTGGGGGTGAGAATTGACGGATTGACTGGCAGGATCAGCGCCACCAGCACCCGGGACTGGCGACTACACAAGGCACTGGAGGCACTGATCTTGAGGCCAAGCATTTCGGGGGAAGAGTTTCAGAAGATCGTTGGGCACTTGACAATAAGGGCTATGATGCACAGGGGCTTGATGAGTATTTTGAGACATGTTTACACCTTCATTGAGCAGTGCTATTCACAGCGAACGAGACTGTGGCAGAGTGTCGCTGATGAGCTTTGGCTTTTCAAGAGTCTAATGGTGTTGGGGTTGAACGAAAGCTTCACTCCGTGGGACCCATGGTTGTTATGCACTGATGCAAGCTTGACAGGATATGCAGTCATGGAGAGCAAGTACCACATGGAGGACGCTGGGGTCATTGGGAGACGCGATGAACGCTGGCGCTTCAAGAAGGAGAAAGGCAAACCAAGAAAGGCTCCTAGAGAAGTGGCTTTGGAAGGGTTGGACGTTTTTGAGGACCTTCGGACTGTTTTACCAATCGTTGAGGGTGAGGTGGCACAGGATCTGGAGGTTGATAGCTCATTCATTGATGTTGACCCGAAGCTGTTGCACAAAGACAACTGGAAGTGTTTGTGGAGGACCCCAGTGCGATTCAAGGAGCCGATACACCAGATCGAGGCTCGGAGCATACTGGGGGCGGTCAAACACAGGAGTCGAGATAGCAACAAACATTCACACCGCATTGTCATCCTCAACGACAACATGGGGGTTTGTTTGGCGTTTCAGAAGGGACGATGTTCTAATTTTGGACTGTTGCGGATTATTCGCAGGGTCTCTGCTCATTTGTTGTGCACGGGCATTCGACTGAGCGTTCGATGGGTGCCTTCAGAGTTGAACGTGGCTGATGAAGACAGCCGGTTCTGGGAGCGCTCGATGGGCAGTGGCACCAAAAAGTTTTCCCCAAAAGAGGAGGGTGGCCGTCTTCACGAAAGAGGTTGCAAGAAGTCAGAATGCGATCTTGAAATTGGAGCCGGAACACCCACCGTCGTTGAAGAGAAAGAGAGAAGTCAGCCCAGCTGCAGACACGAATCGCCGAGTCGTGGTCAGAGGCCTGGGCAAGATAGTGAGGAGCCACAAGAAGAAGAGAGAGAAAGCACTTGCCAGAAAGAAGAAGTATGCAAAGCAGGTTCGAGGAGAGAAGACGCTGCTGGAGCATGCATCGATCAAGGAGCCAGCTCGGAAGGATTACTACAGGAAGCTAGAAGGGTTCTATGCCTTCGTAGTGAAGTACGAGCTGAACATCCGAAGCGAAGAGTCACTGGACGCAGCGCTGTGCGAATACGCGGAGCACCTGTTTCTGGACGGAGAAGACTCACACTATGGACAGAAGCTGCAAGCAGCCTTGGAGTACGACAGGCCGGAATTCTCCAGGGAGGGACGGCTTGCTCTTCCGAGGTTCAAGAGGGCACTCAAGGGCTGGAGGAAGCTTGCACCGACGCAGACCCGCCTTCCTATGCCAGAGATGCTAAAGTCTTGTGTCAGCGCCATATTCTTACAGATGGGCTGGAAGGAGGAGGCGCTGTACAACGAGGTGACATTCTCGACATATGCCAGGCCTGGAGAGATGATGAGGGTGATGGCAGAAGATGTGGTCGCACCGAACCAGGAGTTCAACCATGCGGTCATCATCCTTGGACCCCTCGAACGGGGGGAATCATCGAAAGTGGGCATCTACGACGAAGTACTCGTGCTGGACGACAAGAGAGCTCCATGGTTGCCAAAGTTGGTGTTGAAGCACGCACAGTCGCGCATGAGCACCACGGAGGACCGGCTGCTGTGGAGCTTCAACGCTGCAGGGTATCTCAAGAAGTGGCGCCAGGCCGTGCAGATGCTGGGAATGGAGGAGATTGCAGTGAGCCCATATCAGAACCGACATGGTGGAGCCTCCAGAGATCATCTCAAGAAGCTCAGGAGCATTCCGGAGATTCAACGACGAGGCAGGTGGAACACAGACAGCTCAGCAAGGATCTACGACAAGCCGGGTCGATTGCAACAGACTTTGAACCTGTGCGGAGAGAAGTACTCCGCCTTAGGGGAAGAGATGCAGTGCCGCTTCGATATCTTCTTCCAGTCTGGATGTCAGGCATTGCCCAAGCGACTCGGCAATCAGTTGAGAAACCTTTGCAAGCAAAAGTGTTCCTGAGCCTCTTTGGAGGAGAGGCAGCATGTGCCAAGTGGTTTTGCAAAAATGGTGGTTTTTCAATTTTGGTTGACTTCGCTAGTTCACCCAAAAATGACTTGAGTAGAGCTAGCCGGTGGAAAGACGTTGAAGAGCTGGTTGAGTTGAGCGACTTTGTTGGCATTGACCTTCCCTGCAACACGTGGTCACGAGCACGGAGAGCACCCTGGTGGTCCAGAATGCCTTCCGCCTTGAGAGATGATTGAAAGCACCTCTTTGGCTTTCCGTGGCTCAAACCGCGCGATGCTGCTAAGGTGAAAGCTGCTAACATGATGTTGCGCCGCACTCTGAAGGTCATCAAACGATGTCTTTCCACTGGCAAGGCTGGATACCTCGAGAACCCGTGGTCTAGCAGGCTATGGAAAGTGCGAGGCATCAAACATTTGATTCGCCGCAAGCAGGCTTTCCTTCTGCGATGTGACATGTGTCAGTATGGAACGCAGTGGCGGAAACCTACAGGTGTCTAGATTTGGGGATGCTCACCTTTCCTACTCAATAGCTGCTGTAACGGTCGTAAGTGCACAAGGACTCACAAGCCTCATTTGATGCTGAGTGGTATTAGCAAAGGAAGATTTTTAACTTCGCATGCCCAAGTTTATACTGCACAGTTCGCCAATGCACTTATGCGAGGTTTGACCCAGACCACACCCACCCAGTACAATACATTGGGGATGGGATAGAAGCTCTTTTTGGCCATGATGGCCAGAGCATGAAGTTGA